GCACCTTGTATCAATTTATTAATACATACATTTATTTGTTTAGCAAACACAGCAAGGCTGAGATTGTAGCTCATTGGTAGAACACATTGCCTGCAACTTGAAACTACTGGCATCAGATTTAATCTTATTTATCTTAACACACACACACACACACACACACACACACACACACACACACACACACACATATACAACCACACGTAAGAAAATCCAGTAAAGTATGAACTCATCAGAGTGTTTAAATAAGTCAAAATTACAAGTGCATCTTTCCCTTCTCAAATCCTTTCTTGGATGAAATGCATGCCAATTAAATAAGCATCTTTCAGAGCATGAGCTGTAGAACTGGCCCTACGTGATGTTAATAATTATTACAGATGAAATTGTTCCATAGTTTAATAATCTGGGGAAATTCTGGGTGAGACAGGTTAAAAAGATATTTCTTTATTATAGAGTTTCTCTAAGCTTTTTCATTATCCCAATTTGCTTCATGAATCTTAAATGTAAAAAGATCGTCAGTAATTTATTACATAATGTTTTCCATCTCACTCTTCTTATGGAACAACCAAGGGGCTGACTTCGTGATCTGGAAACACACTTTGAGAATTATTGAATCAGACACTTTTCTAACAAAATCTCCTTCTGTTAAAGAAATTTAACCATTGAAGTCTTGTAATTCTTTCAGATCCCTCAGAATTGTGGTCCTCAATCCTAGCTGCCCATTGGAATCACCAAGGTGCTTTAAACATGCCAGTGCCCAGATCCTACCCAAGACCAGTCAAATCGGAGTCACTAAGGTTGAGGCTGAGAAAGAGGCAAAGGCTGAGGCTGAGACTGAGGCTGGGTAATAGCAATCTTTAAAAACCCCAACACCCTTAGAAGTGATGATCTGTGAGCAGTTTAGGGACCCACTGGCCAAACAAATTGATCTCTTTTACCTTGACTGACCTATGCCACATCAGTGAACTCCAAAGACTTTGCACTCAAAATCTCTTCATGCTAACAATATTAAACCTCTAGTGGCTTATCTGGCCAACCCACGCCTCATTTGTCTTAGACCACAGTGCTCCATCTTGTCTGCTGCTGGCAGATGTGAGAGGAGGTTTTAGGGGTTGTGTAAGGAAGGAAGCCTCTAGATGGCTAAAAATTGGCTTCTCTGGACTTTTTTTTTTTTTTTCCTTTCTGGTACTGGGGATAGAACCCCCAGGGTGCTTTACCACTGAGCCATATCCCAAACCCTTTTTATTTTTTATTTTGAGACAGGGTATTTCTAAGTTGCTTAGGGTCTCACTCAACTATTGAGGCTGGCCTCCAATTTGCAATTCTCCTGCCTCAGCCTCTGGGGCTGCTGGAATTACAGGTGTGTGCTGTTGCCCAGCACAACTTTCTGTAAATCTGAATATTTTCAAAATGGAAAGTTAAAAAGTAAAAATAGCTAATTAAAAATTTTCCCCATTCTATCACGTTGATTAGGCCCCAAATTCTTTTTTTTAATTTTTTTATTGGTTGTTCAAAGCATTACATAGCTCATGACATATCATCTTTCATACATTTGATTCAAGTGGGTTAAGTGTAAGAAATAAAATCAAGAATTAATAAATGGGATGGTCTCAAACTAAAAAGCTTATTTTCAGCAAAAGAAACAATCAATGAGATGAACAGAGAGCCTACATTTGCCACACACACATATCTGTAGGATATATAAAGAATTCAAAAAACTTAATACCAAAAACAAAACAAAACATAAAAAAACAATAAACAACAAACAACCCAATCAATACATGGGCTAAGGAGTTGAATAGACACTTCTCAGAAGATATATATTCAATCAATAAATACATGAAAAAATTACTCAACATCTCTAGTAATTAGAAAAATGCAAATCAAAACTACTGTAAGATTTCATCTCACACCCATCAGAATGGCAGTTTTCAAGGATACAGACAATGTTGGCAAGGATGTGGGGGAAAAGGCACACTCATACATTGTTGGAGGGACTACAAATTGGTGAAACCAATCTGGAAGCAGTATGGAGATTCCTTAAAAAACTTGGAATGAAACCATCATTTGATCCAGCTATCCCACTCCTTGGTCTATACCCAAAATCAGCATACTACAGGGACACACCACATCAATGTTTTTAGCAACCTAATTCACAATAGCTAAACTGTGGAACCAACCTAGATGCCCTTCAATAGATGAATGGATAAAGAAACTGTAGTATATATACACAATGGAATATTACTCAGCATTAAAACAGAATAAAATCATGGCATTTGCAGATAAATGGATGGAGTTGGAGAATATCATGCTCAGTGAAGTAAGCCATGATAAGTGGATGCTGTTCCAAAATGGGGAGGCTGGAGGCAGAAGAAAAATGGAGGAACTTTCATTGGGCAAAGGGGTGGGAGGGTGGGGAGGGTGCATGGGGGCAGGAAAGATGGTGGAATGAGATGGACATCATTACCCTAGATACTTGTAAGACTGCACATGGAGTGGGATGCTACATCATGTAAAGCCAGAGAAATGAAAAATTGTGCTGCAATGGGTACAAAGAATCAAAATGCATTTTGCTGTCATATATACCTAATTGAAATTTTTTAAAAAAAATTTCCCCATTCTGATTCTTTAGAAATAATAGAATTGATATTCAAGGAATTATGTCTCCCTTTTAAGTATTTTGAGATAGCTAGAGATGAAGAGGTGCATTATAATAAGTACATCATGTGATTTTGATACACATGGTCCCTAGGCCACCCTGTCATTGTTCTCAGGCTGGAGGATTTGCTATAAGGGATAACAAAAGATATGGAAGCAAGCAAGGTGCAGGAGAGAAGGTGTTGGTAAGAAGACAGTGGGAGCTGCGGGAAATGGGTTTTGGAAAGAGGGTTTGAATAGGAGCCTGGGGGAGAGAGACAATTGTGAGGTAGGGAATAGTATGAAATATATTTATAAAGGCAGAAAAGGCACAAGAGAGTTTAAGATATTTTGCAGACTTTATGCGTGTATGTTCTCCTTGGCATTTGCTAGTAAGAATTCAGTACAGATTTCCATTGTTTTATTTCCCATTCTTTTTCTTTGACTAGTATTGTACTCTGAAGCTCATCACCAATGGGCCTGGGTATAGTCCTGTGGTGACTCCGTCCAGATCATGTACTTTGTATGAAAGACAGACCCAAAACCATTTGCATGGTACCTCTTGACTTAAAGATAACAAGTCATTTGGAGGAATAACCAGGTGATGTAAGGTGACCCTGCAAAACCCAAACCTCTCTGTGGCCTTGTGGCATAGCCCTCCAGTAGTGGGCATAAACAGTGACCACCAACGGTAGACCTGAGAAGAATGATGCATTGCACATGGATCAAGAGCTATTCAGACTCCTGTGGATTGTCTTCGGCCTCAATGTCTGTGTGTTTCTTCCTAATCATTTTCAGGACTGGAAGCCAGAAATGAACCTGAAAAGTGGATAAATTAACACTGGACTCATTTCAAATGCCTCTTACATAAATTTTTCATCATGGTGTTAGTGGTATTGAAAGGGACATGAAATCTTATCCTTTTGGTATTTTTTTGGTCTGTCATTGTCTATGAACTATTTTCCAAATCTTTAAGTTGTAGATGGCTGATAACAAGGATGCACAGGATTCATGACCATGACATACACATGAACTTCACCCTGCAAAGGACAATTGATTCTTCCAGTGTCCACCCAGACAGAGGAGCCAGGCAACTAACTATGAAGCAAATTTATTTTGGTATACTTGATAACCTGTATATGTGTCTGTGTGTTTTGAATTATTCTTTAAATGGTTTCTCCTCATTAAAATAAGTTAAATAAAATCTTTGACATGTGCATATGGGAGCCATGGTGATATACACGCATACACACATATGTATGTATGTATGTACACATGCACATTATATAATAAAAACCATAGACAAATAGATGGATGGATAGATAGATAGATAACATTGAGGGATGAACAAATTCTTTGAAACTGACAAAGTTTTAGATATCCTTCCATGTTTTCTCTTTATTCTTGGCCCAGGAAAGTATTGGGTATTATTGGATATTGTTATTCAATATCCAATACAGAGAAGACCTTCCCAAATAGCCTCTCTACAATATGGCTTAACATACTTAATTGCAACCAATATTTTGAAGGATGTCTTGTAGACTTCTCTGGGCCAGCATTCAGATCACAATGCTGAGCCACAGCCAAACAATTTTGTCACTCTGCCCCCACCTCAAAATCCTCTCTACTGTTGGGATATGAGCTCTAATATGAAGTCAAAGAGAGCTTTGAAATCCTCTTTCCAGGGCTGGGAATGTGGCTCGGGCGGTAGCGTGCTTGCCTGGCATGCGTGCGCCCCGGGTTCGATCCTCAGCACCACATACCAACAAAGATGTTGTGTCCGCCGAGAACTAAAAAACAAATATTAAAAAAATTCTCTCTCTCTCTCTCTCTCTCCTCTCTCACTCTCTCTTAAAAAAAAAAAAGAAATCCTCTTTCCATTTGCTTTTCAAACTTACCATTCACTTAATTAGAGGTTAACCCCCCATCTTGGCCTTTTTATTTATTTATTTTTTATTTTTATTTTTTTTAATATTTATTTATTTATTAGTTTTCGGTGGACTCAACATCTTTGTTTGTATGTGGTGCTGAGGATCGAACCCAGGCCGCACGCATGCCAGGCGAGCGCTCTACCGCTTGAGCCACATCCCCAGCCCCAAAGGATTTTTCTTTCTTATATGCAATACTGGGGATTGAACCCAGGGCCTCACTCATGCTAGGTAAGCTCTCTATACCACTGAGCTATATCCCCAGTCTTTTCTCACCTTTTTAAAGTACAGACTCAGTTTCCTTTTGAACTCTTCCGGTGGCTGCTTTGATCTTTTTCTAAGTAGCTTTGCATGTAGGTACTGAATTCGCTCCCTCTCCATGTTGGGGTAGAAGGATGTGGACACCAGGATCTTAAGTTGCATCAGAATGGAGGACAACAGTCCCAGCATCATTAATATCACAAGAATAATACTGAGAGGAACCCAAGTCCTAGACAGAAGGAGCTTAGGTTTAGGGATGCAGCTGGGTTCAAAGACAGATATATTAAAAGAAGAATCATGGATGAGGTCTTGAGTTCCTTGTTTCTAAAATGAAAGAATAAAATAATTAATATCCATGCCATTTTTCTACCCAGTCTTTATCTTTCTCAATATTTCCTGGTAGCACATAGCATTTATCTTCAATCTGCAGGGAGCTTTGGTTAAAAGAACTCTCACATCTTGTTTTTTTGTGCTGTGTTTGGAACAAAGGAGAAGGGATGAGTTGTCTGTAACTATGGAAGTGATTTCCAAAGCGGGTTTGCAGAAGCACTGGTTTTCTTGAGATAGGTGTATCAGAAAAGTATTCAATAGCTTCTTGGAGAGTCACTGTTGAAGGCTTTAAGGAGATGGAGAAATCTGTTTAAGGTTACACTAACAAATCTGGCCACATCCACATTTTCATGGGATACATGTTTCTCCACTTTGGGCACATGAGCTAACGTGAGGTGAGATGGGGGAGCTGGCTCAACTGGGGGAGAGGATCTCTTGGGGACACAGCCTCCTAGTCATGACAAACTCCACTTCAGCAGATGACAAGTTCACAAAGATGATAAGATACTAAATCGTGCTCTAAATCAATCTTCTGAAGCTTTGGGGGATCCCTCTTATGCATTGTGTGAGATCCCATTTTAGGTTGATGTGTTGACCCTCACTGAAGGAGACTAAAATCCTGTTGGAGGAGATCTTTCAAATAGGGCATTTTCACATGTCTCCCAATTACTCAGGAGGGGTGCATTTCTTCATGTTTGAAGGCAAGAGAACAAAAAAAAAAAAAAAAAAAAAAAAAAGCCCTCAGCAGACTGATACAGAGGGCAAGAGATGACATTGAACTACCCAGCCCAGCCACCAGCAGAAGTGTGTGCTGACTCAGCTCTTTCTTTCCCCTGACCTGAGAAAGTCATTTAATCTCTCAGTGGATTTGTTTTCTAATTTGGCAAAGCAGGAATTAATGGACCAGATCCTGCCCATGAACAAACTACTCCCAGTGTAAATTAAACACCTTGGGGATGGAGCATTAACCTTACCGACTGGTGTACTTAGTAAGTTATTATCACCCTCGTGCCACAGAGTCCTGGGCCCAGGAAGAAGTAGATGAAGTCTCAAAAAATAAAAAAATCTAGAAAATATCATGCAGCTTGGATCTACCCCAGGACCTATAAAGAACCTGGAAATGCCAAACCTGGGACCTCTATACAAATTCAAACCTGCGCCTACGCAATGAAAAACATTTGTGTTGCTTCTCCTCTTATTAAAAAGACAGTCAGTCTACAATTAAATAGAGATTTCAGTCCCCAGAGCAAAGACATGCAGTCTTTTTAATACTATTGAAGAAACAAACCCATCGACTGAGGCAGTGATGAGCAATCCCCCCACAATGAGAAAGCAACAGGGGTTCGGTCTGGGAAGAAGTTATTTAGTCTAGAAATCCAACTGGGGGTTTTGAAGTTGGGAGTCAGGGCTCCAAAACGATCGAGTCAACATTTTTGTATGGGGTTGGTTGAGGGTAACGTGGAAGACAAATTCAGTCTTTCCAAATGCCAAGCAACATACTAAATGGTACCCCAATGATTTAAAATGTGTTTCCTTCTCTTAGGTGAACAACCTGCTGGGATAGCATTGAGTCATGGGTGGAGAGCAGGCCCACCATCTTGCAAGGTTAAGGCAGTAGAGCACAAGGTTACAGCTCAGCAAGTAGGGATTACAGCTATTTTTATTTGCAATACCCACCCATACAGCTCGATCAACTTGGATCATTTCCCAACTTCTTTATTTAAAACATTTATCTAAAATTTTATGAAAGTAAGGAGAAATATGGGCAAAAACTTGAACCGAGGTTTCTCTTCCAGCTTGACTTCTCTGTTGCAAACCTATAGCCACAGACAAGGTGCAGAGCCTCCAAGGGCATCTTGGGATAAGGCCAGTCATGCAGAAGCTGGAGGGGCGCTCCCAGGCAGCCTCCTTCCTACATTGGTTCCAGTGCCCAGCACCCTGCTGCTGTTAGGTGTATACATGGCGGCCACCCCCATTGGGATACCACCCTCATAATGTGGCCATCACAGCCTGGACATGGTCACATCCCCAGTACCCAGCAGTGCCCAAGATGAATGTGTCAGCATATTGTCTTTAGAAAGCTTCTGTGCTTTTAGGGCAAGTCAGAACTTGTGTTGTCCTCCTCTGTCTAAACCAGTGGGAATTAACAAAACAGGAATGAGTATTGGGTATTAGCAGAGAGAGAAATAAATGAAGGGGATCAAAAGACAGGGAGAATCAAGAGGGGAAGACAAGAAAGGATAATACAAAGGAGAATGGCAGGAAGAGAGGTCTTCTTATTGGCCACCCCCCACACCCAAGATCAAGGACTGTGAGATTCTTGTTTGGCTTTCATTTGAAATGCTACTTCCATTATCCACCCTGCTCCAAATATCTAGAGCAACAGGGTGCCTGGTAATTAACTGAATTCTTCAGGGAAAGCAGAGAGCTCAGAGTAATCAACTCCGAGAAGCAGCCCAGGATTAGGAGGGCAGGAGCCGGGGGATCTGGATCTGCTGAACCAAAAGGGAAGGAGGAGGAAAAGTGTGGATGCAGCAGGAGGATCTGAGACCCTGGGAGAGAGAGAGAGAGAAGGGGAGGGTGGGGTTTCAGAGGATGGTTTACCAGCAGCCTGGCCGTCATTTCCTCCTCTGTGATTTTCCCAACAGCTGGTACATGGTGACTGCTGCTGGTGAGTGCACAGCCCCGGAAGTGCACTTGACCCCAACATGCACCACAACTGTGTGCACGCACCAACATGCCGTCCCTGGTTCTGTGCTACAATTTCTGGGGTTAAAAAACTAAATAAGGCAAATGTCTGACAATTCCCAGACCCTCTGAAATGTCAACATAATTACAAATTTCTACAGGGAAGATGGAAAAGATAAAAGATGAGATGCACAAAGCCCTCAGTCTTCTCTGTTGACACATGGCTGCTGGGAGGAGGGAGAAAGCCAGATTCCTCAAAATGCAAGGGGGCACCAGCTCAGAAATGACATTGTCTTGCCTGATTACGGGTTTTCCTAGAACCACATGATGGCTATTAGAACTTAGATATCTGGCTCTGTTCTTCCGGGTGATGGGTTTAAAACAGCGGTTCTCAGTCTTGGAGACACATTAGACTTATTCCAGGAGGTTTTAAAAATTCTTACCCCAGTCCAAGTACAGGAGATTCCGTGGGGTTTCTGGAGAGGAGTTTTGGGTGTGTTCACTTGCTTGCTTATTCAATTCCACAATGACACACCTCTGCTAACATCTAAGGTCAAGGACTGCTTGTCTAGAAGGTTTTACATTTTAGCACCTAAGCCAGAGTTTCCCAAAATGTGGTCCAGGGCACTAGGTATCAGCCACGTTACTGGGTCATTTGGAAGCCCTTTATCAGCAGTCATCTTTTTAAACACTCCACTGATGCACTGAGATCAGTGTTTGATAAGGACTCAGGATGCATAAGAAGTCAGGCCCTAAGAGTAAGAAATCAGGCCCTAAATCCTGGACTCAGGTTTGTGCCAGATACAGCTTGAGAATCAACTTTAGGTTCAACATCAGAGATATCTATTCCCACGTTTCATTGTATATGGAGTATAGGAGGCTGAAAAATGGTTCCCGCATGTCCTCCGTAAGATCCTAGTCCCTGGAACCTATGGCACTTCACTTGGCATAAAGGGCTTCACCAGAGGAGATTAAGTTAAAGATCTTGAGATGTGAAAATTATCCTGTCATCCCAGTGAGCCCTCATGAGACCCTGTGCGTGACTTAAGAGAGCAGAGAAAGATTTTCCATAAGGCGATGTGAAGACAGAGACAGAGATGGGAGCTAGGCCACCACGAGTCAAGGAATGCCACCAGCCACCAGAAGCTAAAGAGGCAAAGAGTGTATTCTTTCCTAACACCTGAAAAGAACATGTCCCTGCCAACCACATCTCAATTTTATCCCAGCAAAACTGAATTCAGATTTCTCACTCCTATGGCTATAAAAAATACACTTCTACTGTTTAAGTCACCTAGTTAGAAATCATTTGTTATAGCAGCCAGAGAACACTAATACAGAATCACTCTAACATTAGTACTTCAATTTAATCTATACTTGTTGGGTTTCTTTTATGGGCCAGGCACTGTGTTAGACACCAGGGATCCAAAGGTGAATAAAATATTTCCCTGTCTTGGGAGGTTCCAGATCTTTTGCAAGACTGACCCAGCAAGAAGCTGTGACATACCTGGGAGCCCCTACCTCTTTGTGCAGTTTCAGGTGAACTTCAAGTCTTGGCAAGCTTTGGAATTGTTTGCTCACGGAGAAAATGAGCCGATACAGCAGATAATCTGCAGCCGTGAACAGCACCCAGATGGAAAGATGGGTAAGTATGGGGAAGAAAAACAGCCCCAGGTTTTTCCTCTCTTTAGGAGTCAGCCGGAAAGATGGGATGACCACATACTTCTTCCTCTCCCTCTTATTCAGTGGGAGGACACAGGGCCTCTGTTGATGCCTCTCCTTTTCATCAAACTGAACAAATTGCCTGGTGATGTAGATGTTTTCAAACTTACAACCCCAGGGGCCCAAAAATCGTTTCATGAAGAGGCCAGTGCTGAGCAGAACAAGAAAAAGCCCAGCGAAGGCGAGCAGCTTCTGCCCCAGGGAGGAAAACACCTCCATCATGGTGGTCACAGGGTGTAAGACACTCAGGACTTCTCCTTTGGTGTTGTTTAGCTGTGCCTCCAGGACATGTCTGGGACTGAAAAGAGAGACCACCAGGGTCTGATTCCACGAAACGAGGTCATCCAATATATTCAGTGGAGTGACCAGGCCATAAATCCACTGAATGGCTTCAATGTATTTTTTCAGAAGTGGAAAATGTACGGAAAAGCTCTTTGCCCTGAGGTTGCAAGTCATACTGTCCAGGAAACATTTAAAGTTGTGAAAAATATTTTCCACGTGGCCAAAGATCACTATGCCCGTGCCAGCTGCAATCAAAGCGTTCCTGCCTTCGCGCAGGCCACACGAGAGAAAGACCAGAAGAATGAAACAGCGGGCGTGCCTGGAGCAGCCCAAGAGAACACACATGACCATCCAGGAGGTGGCGAAGGCCACCGCTGATGGCAGAAACCAGTAGAAGGCCACAGAGAGGAGGCTCGCTGAAATGAAGGCCACAAAACAGCACACTCCCAAGTGCTGGAGAAAGTCCACCCATGCAGGACCTCTCGGAAACACGTACATCCTCCAAAGACTTAGGAAGACATCCATGCTCGAGGTCCACATGCCCATGATCCCTGTGTCCCTAGGAATGAAAAAGAAACCAAGATCAGAAGGTACTTAAGATCCAGGAGGTAGATGGATGCAGAACATGGTGGTGATTCTTCACCCCTCCCTCTTTCCACCCCTTGCAAGGAGACCTCACAGCTTTTGCCACCAAGAGGTGAGAGAAAGAGAATCCATCAAGAATTGGACTCTGTTACTCCATTCCTTGAATCTGAGCAGGACTTGTGACTGCTTTGGCCAGGAGAAAGTGGCAGCAGGGGCGGTGTGCCAGTCCCTAGCCCATGGCCCGCTCGCTCCTGCATGCTCTCTTGGACCTCTGCCATCGCCATGGTAACAAGACCAGCTGTACTCATCTCCTATGGCCACACAACAAATTACCATGAACTCGGTGTTTCAAAGAAACATCTACTTATCTTCTTACAGCTCCAGAGGTCCACTGAACTGTGCTCCCACTGGAGGCTCTGGGGAGAATGTGTTTCCTTGCCTTTCTGGCTTCTAGAGTCTTCCTACATTCCCTGGCTCATAGATCCTTCTTCCATCTCAAAGCCAGCAAGGCTGCATCTTCCCTCCTCTGTGACCTCTGTTTCCATCCTCTGATCCTTCTGCTTCTCTCTTATAAAGACCCTTGTAATTACATGGGGACACCCAGATAATCCAGGATAATACCCCATCTCAAGATCATTGACTTAATCATATCTGCAGAGCCTCTGTTAGCATGTAAGGCAACATGTTCACAGGTTCTGGACATTCAGACATGAATATCTTTGGGGGAGTCATGGTCCAGCTTGTCATACCAGGTTAGACTTCTGGTCAACAAGCCCATTTGACTAGTCAATGCCATCAACTTGGCCAGTGGTCACCCAGCTACCAGCCATGTGAGAGAGGCCAGCCTAGATAGACTAGCCAGCCCCCCTCACCAACCCCACCAACCCACCAGCTGGCCATGGACCCATGAGAAAGAATAAGTGCTGTTTTATTTTAAACCACTGAAATCTGTTCTGGTCTGTTAGGCTGTAATTGTTAATTGATAAAGGCAACAGTACTGTATCATGGGCCTAATAGTTGAAACAAACAGTAGGCTGATGGATAGGCGGAAGTCTCACTGAACTGCATTATGTAAGAGTACTCTTTAATAGTCATCTATTTTCTTGTTCTGTAATTTTACAGACCAGAAAGCATACCAAGGGCATCCAAACTTCAATGTGGAGTTGGACTGAGGCCATTATACCTCTGCTCTGTAACCATTGCTTCTTCCTCCTCTGCCCCTACCTTTAGTGTACAGTTGTCTCCTGAGAGTCTTACAAGGAAAGGAAGGATATTTTTGTCTCTAGAATTAATCATCTTTTCCTTTTTCCAGACATAGGATAATTAAAATAAAGATGCTATAATGCTGCTACCACCCTGTTAGTCATGCATATTTAGGTCTATGATGTACTCAAAGAGGCTAGGATTCATATGGAATATTATAAAATAAATTTGAGATTTGTCTTTCTTAATTGACATGAAAATATCTAACAAGCATGGTATCATATGCTTAGGATTTTAATGAGGACACTGATCAATTTTAAACACTGTCAAATACATTCCTTCTCTCATAAATATAATGGAGCTGGATTTATGGAGTCGGTTAACTGCTATAGAACCAGTGAGTTCCACTCATCGTGTGAGATATGTGTAGGGTGCTGATAGACCCAGAGGTGAAAAAATTATTGTCTTTCTGTGTTCAGGCTGAAGAGGGTTAATGAAAGGCAGAAGTAAAAGGAGGGGGAAAGGCACGTCAGGAATAAACATAGGGAAATTTCTCTAGCAAGAGTATAGAGGGCATGGATCTTTGGGCACAAATTCTGAATGCAAATGCTCAGAGAAGACAAGAGACACGGGGAGAATCTGAGTTTTGAAGAAGGGTCATTACCACATAGGACTGGCCTTGGCAGAGATCAGAATTGTACACATGAGGATGTTCCTACTCCATCAGGAGGAAAGGAAATTAGAATAAAGATCAGAGGGAGAACTGCAAAAGATCATAGTTCTTTTCCCCTGCAAACTTACTTTCTTTCTGAATCAGGTTGGATGGAAGGTTGGCCGTGGCTACATGCACAGTGGCCATTGAAGACAGAGACAGCCATCATGGATGGGCTATGAGCTCCTGAACCCAGCATTGCTGACCCTACCCAACTTCATTATGTGAATAGGAGGGCTTGGTGGATGGGTGGGCAGTGGGCAGAGGGCCCAGCAATAGAGCAAGTGAAGAGCTGCTACCTCTCCTCTGTCCCCATGCATTTTCTTTGCCATTACTTTGATTTTGACCCAAAACCATCATTTGACTAACCGATACACTCATAAGCATTCTTTGCCCTTTATGTTTTAGGCATTTTCCATAAAGTATCCACACTCCCTACCCCAACCCATGGAGAAGGAAGCTCTTCCCATTTTACACAGTGGAACCAAGACTCCATGTGCTTATTGAAATTTGCCAGCGATCATGCAGAGTAGATGATACAGCAAGATTCACTCCAGGATCCCCTGATTCCCTCCCTCCTGCAAACTGCCTGGATTCCAAGACTCTGACTTAGCTGACAGGACAATCAGCTTGCTGTGTCTGTGCCTGATAGAAACATGTCACACTTTCTGCCAGGGACTGTTTAAGGGCTGACCTGAATATCACAAACCCACTATCTTCAGTGTTTTTTCCTCCTGCATCTAAATAATCGACCATAATCTGTCTTCAATTAGCAGATTCTTCTCTAACCAAATCAGAAATCCCAGCTCCTTTGTTTATTTTTTTTTCTAATTTCCTTTATGAGGCGCCATTCTGCTTGCCTCCTGAAATATTAATAATGTATACTGTGGTTCATTTTCCCCTTCTCTTGCCTTCATCCTCGTACAATGTGTTCTTAACACTGATATTTCCCTGAAAGTATGAAATGGATTTATGGACACATTAAAATTTTAACATTCTGCAGTAAAATCTAGTATCAATTAAATAAGATCTATGACTGCAATTTTGTCCTGTAAGAGGCACATATTTGCTCAACAAGCTACAGATCTAAACTTATCCTCCTGTAATTGTGCTGAAAACAGCATGTCACCCAAAGACAACCAAACCTTTCCACACTGAGAAGACCAGACGCATTTGCTCCTATTTTACAGCTCAAGCCACAGAGCAGAGCTTTGGACCATGGGCCTACCCTTCTGTTCCTGTCAGGGGTGGCTTAGATTTCTTCTCCACTGTTCTCTGTTCCTCATTTTCCCCACTTGAATATAAGACCTACGTGCTCCTTCCTGGTGAGGTTTAAGGAGGAAAATTTTAGCACCCTTAATACTCCTTGGGCATAAGGTATCCCACAGATACAACCCCTTTCTTCTTACTATTTCTCTGCTGACACAGAAAATTGAGAACTCCCATTCTCTGCCCTTCAGGCAAAGATGGAATGCCCAAGTTGAAGGGAGGCTTAGTTTCAGGGCAGGACTGTACCACCCTCCCAGCCCTGCAATGCTGCCCCTGGTGCCTTCAGAGGTGGGCTGTTTTCTTTCCTCTCGCTCCTGTGGCAGTGAAGCTATTCTGCTTATCTTTTTGCAAATAACTTCAATTCCTTTCTTTCCAACAAATCACTGAATCTAACTTTTGACAAGCTACTTGTTTGGTTCTTTCTCAAAGATTTTGTCAAGCATGGACACTGATTCTTAAATTTTAATTGAGAGCTGGAGGGAATTGTATAGATCAGGGCTGCTCAGATGTGAGCTTGTCATCACTGGGGGACTCTTGTGAAAATGCAGGTCTTGATTCAGAAGGTCTAAGGTGCACCTGAAGTTTTGCAATCTAACAAGTTCCAGCTGACACTGATATGGCTCATCTGACCTCAGGTAGCAAATTCTAGAATCAGTGCTGAGAGAACTTTCTGTGATAATCGACATGTTGTATATCTGAACTGTCAACACAGGGACACTAGCTGCATGTGAGTACTAAGCACTTGGAATAGGGCTAGTGCCAAGGAATAGAATTTTGAATTGAATTGAAATTGAAATGAGTGATTAGTGAATATCTACATATTGGATATCATGGTTCCAGGTGAATGATACCTAACCAGATGATTTTCACAGCAGAGGAAATGAAAATGTAGAGAGAAGAGAGACCCACCAAAGCCATCCTGGCATTTGGCAAAGCCTGAAGTAAGAGCCCAGTTCACCAAAAATCAACACTTTTCCCATCACATCAACATCTCTTCACATCAATAACTCATGGAAAGGACTTTTCACTATCCTTTCTAAAATCCTAACTAGGGTCCCTGAGTAATGGGATTGAATGTTCCCACATACCTATCAGTCTGCTAGATTAGCCGTAAAAATACCTTGGGCTCTGTGGCTTAAAGAGCAGACAAATATTTCTCACTGTTCTGAAGGCTGCAAATCCCATACCAGAGTCCTGTGGGGTCAGGTTCTGGTGAGGGCTCTCTTCCTGGTTCACTAATTGCCACCTTCTCTCTGTGTCCTCACATGGCATAGAGAGGAGGGTGAGCTCTCTGGTACCTCTCCTCTTCCTCCTCCTCCTCCTCCTCCTCCTCCTCCTCCTCCTCCTCCTCCTCCTCCTCCTCCTCCTCCTCCTCCTCCTTCTCTTCCATACCCTTCTTTCTTTCATACTGTATTATCCTTAAGTACACCAACCTTTCCAAGATGTCACCCAGAGATCATTTCAGCCTCAGCTCTATTTGGCCACAAGTCTTTTCTTTTAAGCAATAACAGAGCAGTTATAAGGACACTAATCCTATTGGATAAGGGCTCCACCCATATGACCTCCTATAATCTTCATCGCTTCCTTGGAAACCCCATTTCCAAATGCAGCCACGTGGGTTAAGACTTAAACATAGATTTGTGGTGGATGGGGAAACAAACATTCAGTCCATAACAATACCCGATTTGTCTCCAGACACCTGAAGTGGACAATACATAAAGAAGTGGACAAACCATAACTTTGGTCTCTGTCTGAGACTTAGTAACTTAACAGACACACTACTACTAATAGATAGCAGTTATGAGTTTGTTACCACAAGCTAGCATTTGATATACAAGATTTCCATGAACCTTATATTTTTGTGTCTAGCTCTTTTTTAGATGGTAAACTGAAGCTCAGAGAGGCAAAATACTTGATTAAGGTCACAAAGCTAGACAGTGGAAGAACCAGGATTCTAATCCATGACACTGAGGGATCAAATGGCGAGCTCTCTGCCCTCTTCAACACGATCTTCGAAGGTCTTCTAACTTTAGGTGAAATATGTTCCCAGGTTCCCATCCATACGTGTGGGCTAAAATGCAGACAGGGTGTGGGAAGAGCTTGCCCTGCACTGTCAACACATCCGGTGTCCTCCCCTCCTGCCAGCACAGCCCTACTGAGTCTTCACAGCCAACTCAGAGTCCTTTCCCAGGCAGACACTCTGCTCAGCTGCAGGAAGCCACCCATGAATTCCCATGTTTTACTTAGAGATGGCGACAGCCAGCATTAGGCTCACCCTTGCCCAGCTCTTAAACCAGGCTCCCTGGACTCAGGCCCATCATGGTCTGAGGTCTTACCGAGAGGCCCTGCTCCCAACCAATCCTGGGATAGGGGAAGAGAGGTGCATTGTGTCAAGGTCCCTCCTTCTCTATTGAGCTGGGTCAGGTGGGCCCTCTTCCTGACCTGGCAGACATGGTCAGGGCAGGCAGCCCTAAGACTTCCAAATGCCTGCAGGGTCAGACAGGCATGGTCGAGAGTGAAGAAAATAAGGAGACACAGATGCTCTGGGGTGTGAAACCATGGGCAGTAGATATCTGGGGTGTTGAAGGGACCATGACCCCTATTTAAGTTGTAGGGGAAATAATCCCCAAACCAGCAGGCTTTTGTTCAAGATTATATATAAACTCCATGTGGCCATATTTTCTGATTATTTTCAAGTCAGAAATCTGATTTCTGAGCTGGGGTTATAGCTCAGTAGTAGAGCAAGTGCTTAGCATGTACTAGGCCCTGGTTTTGATCTCCAACCCTAGGGGAAAAAAATCTAGATTTCTTTGGGTGATATCTCTTGAATAAAGAAAAAAGAAAGAAAAGAGTTTGGCTCAACTTGTTTGCAAGCACTCTGGCTGATTTTGACCATAGCTGTGAGTTTGCAGCCTTTGAGCTTCAGTAATAGTCACTTTGCTCCCTCTTCCTGTCTCCCCTCCTCACCTTAATCTCTCTCCCAACCACTTCCCAGAATTACCTCTCTACCCTCTTATCCTTTGTGATGTTTTCAAATCATGCTATAAGCCAATTTCTAGTCTCACATATAAAGGGCTTTCTCTATGACTTGGGCATGTTTATTTTTGCTCAAAGATCTCTAACTCCATTTTATTCTCCTCTCTGGTGCTTACTGGATTCCCCTCTCACCTTCTACATTGTTTCTTTCAGCAGCTTCTAAAAGGCTGCCTGATCCTTTTAACCTGTCATTTCTCTTTATTTTGCTTCCATTATCAATAATGTTTAGTGCCTGAATTCACAGCCTCGTCTCCCCAGCATAGAAAGCCTGCTCCTTGCTTTTACCAACAGCAATTTCCCAGTAGTAATTACCACTTCCTTGCTTTCATCCCTCACCTACAGTTTGCTTCACATCGCAGGCAGAAAGGCCTTAGCTGGAGTCCACAGCAACGTGTCACTGGGGCCCCATCTCTCTTTTACAGGGTCAAAGCAATTTTCTAGTGGTGGGGTGGGAGGAACCGGAGAACAGGGTTGGGGTAAGAAGCCCAGCCCAAGCCCAGAGCCCTGCAGAGCAGTGCGGTCTTTGTATCCAACCTGAGCCCATGGGCACCTGCTTTTATGCAGAGCTGAGCTGTTGCCATGGGAAACAGAAGCCACCAGGCTTCTCCGTCAGCCCTGCACATGCTAGCTGGCAAACCCCACAGTAGTGCATGCACTGCCATGGTTTTGTCCAGGTGGAAATAAATGTCAGTGGTAACATGAGGGCTGGCATGGAAAAGGGGCTCCAATTCCTGATCCCCAAGGCCCCCACCTTGTTGGTGAATCAGGGAGACCTCCATTCCTGAGCAGTCTTTTTCTTTTTTGTTTTCTTTTTTTGTGCTGAGGATTGAACTCAGGGCCTCACACATGGAAGACCAGTGCCCTGCGGCTGAGCTTCAGCCCCAGCTCCTGAGCACAGTCTTTTGAGCTCAGATTAACCCTCAAGGTATAGATGAATGTATCTTTGGTCCAAATACAAAGCCCAGTCAGTCAGTAGCCACAACAAATGGAGCCATGAAATAATAATGAGAGCCTCTAAATGAGAGGCCCTCACTTTCTAGATGGGGGGATACTGCAGGTGCACATCATCAATGCAGCTTCAGAGTTGTCAAACAGAAACCACCACCCGGCAGGCTGCTGTGTGGCTCTCCTGCTGGGAAAGACCTGGAGCCCCAGGCCACAGGAGGTGCCCTCTTGCCCACTTACAAAACACCAGCCTCATCTGACATCTTGCAATTTCCAGCTCATTGTGTCCCTGCTCCCACGCAGAAGACAAAGGCTGATGCTCACCAAGCCTGCTTACAGTCTGCAGACACCCTGGGGGGAAATAAACCAGAAGGACAGTTCCTCTATCCCTCCTGAGCTCCTCCAAGCGGCTCTGCTAATCCCTTAAAGGAGCCTTTCAGCCTCTCAGCCTCCTGGCTTCCTCCATAACTTGATGGAAATATCATTTTAAAGGAAATCCGAATAAAGGGCGCGGTAAAATAGAAAGAAGAGTGGGCAGGGAGACCGGAGGCCTATGGCCTAGACTGCCTCCACTCCAAACAGGTCACTTCACCTCTTGGGACCTCTGCCCAAGAGCTAACTGGGTTCTAAGGTCCCCAGCAGCCCCGTCTTCTCTGAAATGAAAGGTGGATCAGAGCCACAGAGTGGGCTCTTGGCATGGATACTTGGCACCCACTTCTGAGACTGAATATCAAAGGCCAGCCCCTGTAAGTGAGACAGAAAGAAAAAAAGGAGGGCTGCTTTTCCTTTCTTTTTCTTTCTTTCTTTCCTTTTTTTTTTTTTTTTAAGCTCTTGCTTTTGTTGGGAACATACTGTTCTCTCAGACGGCCAAAATAGCTGGAGCAGGAGCCGAGGCCTCTGTTTGAAGGGGACTGACTTCCCCATCTCTTTGTTTTAGTCCTTCTTGCCTTGGGAACCTTGGGAACCTTAGCAAATGCCTTACTCTGTGAAAGCAACATTCACCAAGAAAGGAAAGATTGATGAGGGCTCTGGGTAAACAGAAGAGCATCCATGGAGAGAGTCCGTCCCTCACTGCAGGCTGCCAAACCCTGGGGTGCCTGTTAGGGAGGCAGGGCCTCCTGTCCTACCTAGGACAGGGTGCCAGCTTCTCCCTAGGCCAGAAGCCTCTGCTCCTAGGGTCGAGTCTGCAAAGCCAGGAGATGGCACAGGGCTCCACACTGCCCTAGCAGGAGGATACCCATGTGCAGTCTGCCCAGAGATGAGAATACTCAGATACCAACATTAAAGACTGTCTTTCTGATATTTCTATTCATAGGCAGACTGGGGAGCAGAGGAGGGGTCATAATTGTTTATTCTAATTAACCAATACTCTTTTAAAAAGCAATTTTAGAAAAAAAGATTAGTCTGAAACGTTACTTACAGATTTCTCTCAGGTTCTTCTTTGAGTGCAAAAAAAAAAAAAAAAAATGACCTTCCCAAGGGCCTGCAAGTCTTAATATAGGGCAGGAAAAAGGAACCAGAAATGAGAAGAGGGTAGTGTCATCATGAATCAATATCTTTATTTCCTCCATAAAGTGACTACGTCATTCAGTATCAACACGGGGTGAAACTGATGCGAAGGAACTACATGGTGCATTCTGATATTTTTCACAGCATAGATGTTCCACAAACCAGCTCTGGAAAATAAAGAAATAGTATATTTTCAAGCACAAGGGAAGGAGTTATAAAAACATGGACAGTCTCTCTTCCTCTTTCCTCTTTCCTCCTAATGTGTAATTCCTAACTCTACTCTAGAAAGGCAGTTGGTAAGCAAGAGCCTTCCCTTGCTCCCATCTACAGCTGAAGGGCAGGTTCACCAAGAAGCCACCTCTGCACCCATGACCAAGTCAGGGCTGATAATGGTGTCACGCCGTGCAGCCACACGGAGACTTCCTATTAGCAAAGCCTCAAAACCTTTCTACAACATTATTATTTATCTTTTCATGGAGACCCATAATATGTCTACAAAAGCTTTTATCTCAAAATTCATGATTCCTAGTGAACTGCAAATATCCCTGGGAAGGAGGTTGTCTTAAATATCATTCCTGCCAATTTGTATCTGATGACTGAGTGAAGGCTAATGGACGCTTCAAAAAGCAAGAAATAGTTCCAAAATTTACAAGTCTGACAACTGTACATTGAGATAGTACATAGTCATAATTTACCGTCAGTCTTCTGACGGAAGCCTTGACTTCCTCCCCTTCTCAAAATCTTTTTTGTTTATTTCAAACACATGATCCAATATCTTCAACCATACACACAGGTTCTAATCTGGAAAAACATTTTTCTCTCCTCCTCTGAAATTTTTTAATTATCATTCATTTGGATTCAGTTCAATGAAATTCAATTGAACCACATATAGATTGATAGACGTTTATTGAAACTCTACTCAAGGCTTAGGCACTAGGGGATATAAAACCTAATAAAAATCTAACACCTGATTTTCAAAGGACTCATGATTTACTTGAGGAGAAATGGTGAAAATGAGAGAGAGTAGTGTGGAACTGCTTGGGCAGGGAAAGAATATTTCTAACAGGAGTTTGGGGAATACTTTATGGAGAGGTGAAAACCTTGAAGACTGAACACAATTTAAACACATCTAAGGAGCAGAAGAGAATTTCCAGCAGATAAGATGCTTGTGAAGGTCCAGAAGCAGGAAACTGTATCCCATTCTGGAAGTTTTGAACTAGATCTTCAGAGAGCTAGGAGGAGGAGGTAGGAGTCACACCAAAGGGGCCTGGAGTGTGGCCCTCCACCAAAGGTACTTGGCCTTCCTCATTTGACCTGAGGTCCCCAAAGAGTAATAATCCTATCTTGGCCCTGTCCACATTGGTTTTAGACATATATAGGTTAAAAAAAAATAAAAATTTTAAGAGTGGATTTGTTTTTCAAGTAGTTTTCATTTCATGGAATGTGCTTCTAGTTTTGCTGTTGTTTATTTATTTGCTTTTGGTTTTGGTGCTATGGATGGAACCCAGGGCCTCCTGCACACTAAGCATGTGCTCTACCACTGACTATCCCTGGCTCATGTTTTTTTTACTTATACCCATAATAATGATTTTCTTTTACAATAATTTTTAAGTCTAAAATGATGTTGATATTAAGAAAACTCTAAGATAAATAATTGTACAGGTGAGACATTATAATCTCTCGCCAAACATCATGGCGAAGATACCCAAATGTCAGATGTTTGGGCGACACAACTATAGAGCAATAGATAATGGGGAATTAGAGAATGTGATGAACAAATTCGTATTGTAAAAAGTCAGTGAGCAGCACTGGACAGGGCGGGAGGAGAATGAACAAGGGGGCTGTCGATAGGAGGTAAGACCAGTATACTATTAGGGTTCTCAAGACCAACAGAGGAAACAGGGTTGCAGGGTGTGGGGGAGACTATCAGGAGACATCCCAGTCAAAGCCCAGGGAGCATGGCTGCCTGCCATGTGTCACAGAGGCAAGCCTTGGCTCCCAGTGAGGAAGGAGGAGCGGCAGGCGAACACTCCAGGCAAGAAAGGGCCATGAAATTCAGGGTGCGAGTGAGGCATTGGAAAGTCCAGTTGGGCTTGTGGTGTAGGCACTAAGTGTGAAGGATGCAGGCTGCAGAGCCGCAGCCTCTCCCGCCCCTTCCTGTGGAACTGAAGGTAAATCAAGATGTTCTCATCTGAACCAGAAAGACCCAACTCAGTGTCCATGCCTAACTGGGCAACAGCAGTGGTCACCAAGAGAGGAAGGATGAGGAGTGGGGGAGGGGAGGCATGTGGGATATTGAGGGCAGGAAGAAGAAGAAGGCTCAGGAAATGGCCCTGCCTTTTGGAAGAGCCATGTCGGTAGACAGCTGGAGGCTGCAGTGGGCTGGGAATGAACCAGAGGCAAGCAGGGGAGGAACCATCCAGGGGTTACTTGGTAGTAGTGTTGGAGATGAAAACAGAGAGGAGGAAAGCAGTGATAGAGATGCAATAAGAGACTAGAGAAAATTCAGCCCATCAGACTCACAAAGGAGAATGAAGAGAGATGTTGGTAACTCTTTGAAAGCTGAGGATACTTCCAGACCTTCTGGGGAAGGAAGAGATAGAGCCTTCTGCTTAGAGAGCAGAGTAGAGCAGAAGTTCCTGACTCATGTAAAGCAAATCTACAGTGGTGCAAGAAGAAAGCATTGGACAAAGGAAACCCTGGTCCCTACACAAAAGGGACCACAGTGGAGCCATTGACATGGTTTTGAAAATCCCCAGCAGATCTCAAGCTTTTTTGAGGGAGACAAAATGGTCAGTTGAGTTTCAACCTTAGAGACCTATGTAGGGTTAAGGGGCTGGGATGTGGGCAGACAGATGGAATTCAGCTATTGCTGCAAATTTCCTTTCCTGAGCACTGAGTGAACTCAGAGAATGGAAAAGCTAGGCTCAGCTGGGAATTTTACCCTGGTCAGCTCAAATGTTCCTTAATGACTTTGAAAGTCTGCAATTAGTAAGCTGGACTCTTTGACAGTATCTGTCTGCACTCCTCAAATGAATAGCCTCAGAACAGCCGTAGTTGAAAGAGCCTGGTACACAGGAACCATCCAGATTCCAACACCAGGGCCTGATGGCCAGCAGCCAAGTAAAATCAGGCCTGAACTTCCAGGGTGTCTCTGGGATTCTGCCTCAGATGACCACTGAAATTACCGTATGATCCTAAGCCGACAGTCAGGATCATCTTTTGTTCTTTCTCCTGTCTTCAAGGAATCTCTGTCCTTCAGAGGTCATTTTTAGATTCCATGAATCATAGAACTATAGAGAACACCAGCCTTGTCTCTGACCCCTGCACCACCCAGCTCAGGAATCCTCTGGAAAACCAAGGTAGGGAGAAGATATTTTGTGAGAAGGTATGGCCTGGCATAGATAGGGATTGTCACATTGTTTGTTTGGTAGCTTAGCTTTAACCTGTTAAAATTGTTACCGTATTTCTAGAACAACTTATTTGAGGCCATGCATTTCTTACATTGAATGAAGAGTGAGAAGGGCTGGGGATACAGCTCAGTGGTAGAGTCCTTGCCTAGCATGCATGAGGCCCTGGGTTCTGCACCCAGGACTGCAAAAGAAAATAATAATAATAATAATAATAGAAAGTGAGGATTCTGTCATGTGAATCAGCTGAGGCCATCTATGTTGCCTCTGACCTAATATTTAGTCCCCTTCCTTCAGAGCCCTCACTGCAGTGGTGCTTTTCTGTGAGTATCAATCTTAACCTTCCCAATGATGGATCCTGACCTTTTCTGCTCTGCTGGTACTGCAGCCTCCAGTGTTTGCACTCCCTCTGTCTGGAAGCTGCTTCCCTGCCTTGACCTTTCTTCCTCCCAGGACATTCTTAGCATCGTCTGCTTTTTTCCCCCTGTTCAAGGGCACTCTTCAGGCATCCTTGTGCACCAGGCCTGTGGCGGGTCCCCTAATGAAAGAGGCCTGACTGCTGAAGCTCATGACGGGTAAGGAAGTCCAGACAGGGAGCGTGTTAACCCGCCTTCCATTACTGTAACAAATACTAGTGATGAATCAACTGTGAAGAAAGAAAAGGTTCATTTTGGCCCATAGTTTGGAGGTTTCAATCCGTGGTTGATTGGCCTGATGCTTTGGGCCTGTGGGAAGGCAGCACATGGTGGTGGGAGGAAACTGCTTGCCTCATAGTGGCTGGAAAGCAGAGAAAAAGAGGAAGAGACCAGAGTGCCACTATTCCCATGTCTAAGGACATGACCCCAATAACCCTAGACCTTCCCTGGGCCCCAAGTCTTAGAAGTTTCCACCACCTTCCAGTAGCAACACAGGCTGGGGACAAGGCCCTTAACTTATGGGTTTTTGTGGGACATTAAGGATCCAAAACAAAGCAGAGGGACAGGAAGTGGTGGAGAAAAGCCTGAAAAAAACAGTGGGGAGGGTCTCTGAACTTCTTGGGGACAGAAGTTGGAGTAAGGGAAAGACAGGAGTGAGAGGATGAGGATGCGTTCGCAGTTGGAGCAGGGACATAAGCAAAGGCAGAGAGCCCTGGGAGTGCCAGCATGGCCAGGCCAGTTCTCACATGCAGCCTTTACCCAAGCATCCCTTGGGGTCAGAGCATGGATATGTGATTGGCTGTGGCCAATGGGACTTGAGGGGACGTCAATGAGGAGCTTGTGGTAGAGCCTTCCTCTCTTAAAAGGCTGCGCCTGGGAAGGAATAGGCTCTGCTTTGCAGGGAGTACCCTTCTATGATGTCCGAACAGCTGTGACCACTGTTTTTAACACGAGAAGGATCAGAGTCAAAAGATGGTGACCTGCTGCATTCCCAGTGGCACTTGGCCACCGGACCAACCCTTGATCTCTTCTGCTCCCTGACCCCTGACATGAGACAGTAAACATCCTAACTGTACAGCCACTTTTAAAACACAGACTTGTTTTTGACATCAGTTTTGGGTTTTACAACAAAAGTGAGTAAAGATAGATTCCCCAGATGCTTCTCATCCGTAAACATGCACAGCCTCCCCGAGTATGAGCACCTCTCCAGGGGGCACACTCTAACCACTGAGAACACCCACCGACACGTCATTATCAACCACGTCTACAGTTTATGTTAGGGCTCACTCCTGGAGTTGTGCATTCTATTGGGTGTGGACAAATGTATAATGACATGTATCTACTCTTACAGTATCACACCAAGTAAGTTCCTTGTCCTAAAAGTCCCCTAGCCATCCTTAACTACTTTACCATCATTTTGCCTTTTCCAGAATGTTATAATTGAAATCATACAGTATGTGGCTATCAGATGGCTGCTTTTTCTTAGTGATATTTAGGATTCCTCCATGTATTTTCATGGTCAAGCCACTTTTAAATGTCATTCTATTAAGACATAATTGACATACAACAACCCACACGTTTAATGTGTTTGATTTAATATGTTTTAACATGTGTGTATACCCATGAAACTGCCATCCTAATCCAGACCACGAACATAGAGCATGTTCGCCACCCCCTGTAGTGCCCAGTGCGCCCTTGTGAATCCCAAGACCTCAGCCCGTCCTCAGCCTACCACTCATCTGCTTTCTGTCACTGTAGGTTAGTTTGCATTTTCTAGATGTTATAGATGGAACCATACACTCTATCTTCTGTTTTTCTTTTTGGCTTAGCTCTTTCCATGCACCATAACTGTTTTGAGATTTATCATGCGGTGCTTATATGAAGAGTTCATTTCTTTATATTGAATGTACCTCTATTTGTTTATCCATAAGTCTGTTGATGAATGTCTGAGGAGTTTCCACTTTGGGAGCTAATAAAAATAGAGCTGCTGTGAGCATTTGAATATAAAGCTTTGTAGAGACAGGCATTCATTCCTTTTGGAAGTAACTGGCAGTGGACTAATGGATCATGTGGTCAGTATTATGGTTTAGATGTGAGGTGTCCCCCAAAAGTTCATGTGTGAGACAATGCAGGAAAATTTAGAGGTGAGATGATTGGGTTATGAGTGTTTTAACCTAATCAATGCATCAATTCCCTGATAGGGATTAACTGGGTGGTGACTGTAGGCAGGTAGAGTGTGGCTGGAGGAAGTGTTGTTTGGGGTTTGCCTTTGGGGTGTATATTTTATCTTTGTTGAACAGAGCTCTCTCTTTTTGCTTCCTGGTGCCATGTTCCCAGATGCTTTCCTCTCCACCACACACTTCTGCCATGATGTTCTGCCTCACCTCAGGCCCCAGGGAATGGAGTCAGTCGATAGATTGAGTCCTCTGAAACAGTGAGCCTCAAATAAACTTTTCCTCCTTAAAATTGTTCTCGTTAGGTCTTTTGGTCACAGAAGTGAAAAAGCGTTAAATATTCCAGGTGCATTCAACTTTTTATGTGTGGCAGTGCTGGGCATTGAACAGAGGACCTCACAAATTCTAGTCAAGCACTCTACCACTGAGCTACACCCCCAATCCCTCAAATTGCAATCCTCCTGCCTCAGCCTCCCAAGTAGCTGAGATTAGAGATATGCGCCACTATGCCAGCTTTCAACTTTTAAGAAATGGCCAATAATTTTTAAAGTGGTTGTACCTTTTTGTATTTTCTCCAGCAAGCAGCGTGGGGTTCCAGGTGTTCTGTGTCCTCGCCAAGACTTGGTAGTTTTTTAGCCACTCTAATAGGAATATCATTATAATTTTAATTTGTGTCTTCTTGATAATTAATAATGTAGAGCCTCTTATCTGCTTATTTGTCATATGTGTGTGTGTGTGTGTGTGTGTGTGTGTATATATATGTGTGTGTGTGTGTGTGTGTGTGTGTGTATATATATATATATATATATATATATATATATTTGGTGACCTCAAATTCAATTTGAATCCAACTGCCACAGTAACAGAATTCCATTCTGATAAAATTAGTATCTTCTTTATAAAAATAATAAAGAAAATCATCATTAACTCTACTATTCAAAGTCAATTCACTGTTTATTTTATATATTTAAGATATTCTTCCAGTTGGTAATTTACATTTAAGTTTAATTTATAGTTTTTTTTAAAAAATCAGACAATTTTTTAAATGCCATCAATCTGTCTTTGAAACCATGCTTAAAAAATTCTACTCCCCACAAGTTTTGAATGTTTGTTTATTATTGGAGGGAGGCATTCATCTTTAAAAATAGAATCCAATACTTAATAGATTATAAACTAAGAATAATTATAAGCTAAGGATAAACATAAACTAGGCATCTGCATTAGCTTCCTGTTGCTGCGGTAATAAATCATTATAAACAGGGACTTAAAACAAATTTGTTGTTTTATAGTTTTGGAGGGGATGAGTTTGAAATGGGGTTTACAGGGCTGCAGGAAAGATGTCCACAGGACAGTCTTGGGTTCATGCCTCTTGCAGGGTCTAGAGGCCACACACATTCCTTGCTAGCACCCCTCCAAACTCCAAAGCCTACAATTGCATTATGACATCATCTGCTTCTGTAATTATATCTGCTGCTCTGGAAATGATTCTCCTGCCCCCTCTCGAAAGAACCTTCATGATTGCCTTGGGCCCTCCTGAATAAACTGGAATCATCTCCCATTCTCAAAATCCTGAATTTAATTATATATGTATGCCATTTAAAGTAACATATTTAGAATTTCCAGGGATTGGAATGAGGTTTTCTTGGTGGCCCTTTATTCTGTCCACCACAGAATCAAATATTGTTTTTTATCTAAATGGTTCAACATTCAGCCCAACATTATTTGTTAAATAAGTTCTACAATGATTTGAGATATCAGCTTCATCTTGTAAGAATTTCATATGGGATGTATATTTATGTCAGAACTTGCTGTTCTGTAGCTCTGATCCACAGAATAAACTTTGACATGTGCACCTGGTCCCCGTGGCTACAGGTTCGAGTACTCACTCCTTCCTAGGACTCTCAAAACACCCAACCATTTCCTGCTTCTGTTCTCAGCTTCAGTGCCACCATGCCTCATGGGCTCACTGCACCCCAGCTCAGACCAGAACAGTCATTCCCCCCCACTTAGTATTTTTTTCCCACTTAGTACTTCTTGCAGGTCATTCCATTTCAGTACATAAAGAGCTGCCTCATTTTTATTTATGGCTCTCTGTGAAGAAAATTGATACCATTTTGGATATATATATATATATATATATATATATATATATAGAGAGAGAGAG